ATATGTTTTCGTTTCTCTTGGGAAGATATTTCTGCTTCAAATATCTGAGATTTCTGTGATATTTCTGCTTACCATATTGAGGAAATGCCAAACTGTCACAGTGGCTGCACCATTTACACTCAATTTAACTTCATTTTTTTCACATTCATTCACCCACGCCTTTGTCAAGTTGTTATTGTCTTTGATGATAGCTATCCTAGTGATATGTGTGACAATGATAGATGTGAAGAGGTATTTCATCATGGCTTGGTTTGTATTTCACTTGTTGCACAAGTCACTATGAAGGCTGAAAGGCATCATAGTTTGCTGTCTGCAAAATGAAGACCCAGGAAGCCAGTCCTGTATTCTGGTGTCCAAGAAGCAGAAGGAGCAATGGTGTAAGCCTCAGACTGAGGGTAGAAGATCTGTATTTCACCTGTCCCCATGGGGCACAAGGAGCAAATTTTCTTTTTCTCCATCTTTCGGTCTCTTCAGGCCCTCAGGGGATTGCATGAATGGTACCCTCACTGGGGAAGGCAACTGACTTTCAGTTTTCTCTGAAAACACATCAGTTCCACCCAGAAATATTATTTAGTCAAATGTCTGAGAACTCTGTGATCCAAACTGACACATACAGGTGACTGAGAGTGACTGAGAATGTGTTATTTAATTTCCATTGTTTACCTCATGGATCTTGTAGTGTCCTTACTGGATTATAACTTCATTTAATTTGAGCTGGACGGAATATTTGATATGATTTCAGTCTTTTTATTTTAGTGAATAATGTTTGGGCTGTCTCATACAGTTCTGTGTACACTTAGACATACGTTCTGATGTTGGTACAGGGTTCCATATATGTACATGAGGTCTAGTTTATTCATAATATTTGTGGTCTCTGTTTTGCTATGGGTTTTTCTCTCTAGATATTCTGTCCATGACTGAATGTGGAACGTATTGAAGTCTTCCACTGTTAGTATAAAACTGTTCATTTATCTCTTTACTTTTGTTAACTTTTGTGTCATAGCTTTGGATACTCTGTTAGGTTCTCATATTTTTGTGATTGCTATATCTTCTTAATGACTAAGCCTTTGTCAATAACGGGAGAAAGACTGAAGAACATGAGAGTTTGTCCTGCATCTCCCTTGGTAGACAGCAGTGTAGTCAGAATTGATAAAATTGATGTAAAAGTCCTAAGACTGAGCTGTAGTTGGCAATTACAGAACAGAGAAGAGGCAAAAAAATGAAGCTGTGGATCAGAGGAGAACGACAATGCATAATCATATTATATAACCTAGAATTAAAATAAAATAATATGTAATATTGATATATAATATATAATAACACGGGATAATGTTACTATTATAATATATATCAATATATAATGTAATAATCATAAGTAACAGTGTAGAAGCAGGCATTCTTATGAGGAAAAATAAGGAAGGCTGAACAGTGTCATGGTGAGTAGGCCGAGAAAAGATAAGGCCCTCTATGGTATGTGTTTGATAGCAATCGGAAAACATTAGGGCTTTTTATTTTTCATATTAATTTTTAATGTATTTAAATAAAAACATAGCATTTAAAGCTGTCAAATACTGTCACATATACAGAGGATGGAGCTTATTAAACATACTATAACTGCCACAACTTAAAAGTATTTTATTCACGAGCTACCATTTTATATACATTCATTTCTTACACATATAGTAACATATAGTAAAACACACAATGAATGACTTTGTACAGCTCCATGGAACGTGATTCTCCATTCCTATTTGGCCTGCAGGGAAATTATTACAATCTTATTATTCTTCATGGCCAGTGTTATGCTTGATTTCTTCAGCTTTTGGCACACCCTCAAAGGAAAATGGAACTCAAATTGTTACTCTTAGCAGTTGAATTGATTTAGTCCTCCTGCCTTTGTATATGGTGGAATAATTTATTTGCCACCAATTAGAGCTAATTTTTTTTTAAAAGGAAATTCTGCATTAACAAACATCAAATCCAAATTTGGGGTAGCCAGCATTGAGTTTTCACATTTCTTTTGTGTTTTTTAGGTTTGCTTCTAAGCTTCTTGGTATTTTGTGAGACTTTTAAGGGCGTGGAACTTTGAGTGTGGTTAGATCTCTTTATATATGAGATTTCTCAGGGACTGGAAAATACAAATTTGGCTGCTGGGTCAGAAATGTCATCATTATGAAGGTAGGAGGTAGAAGAATAATGTAACAGCATACTGGATGACTGAAAAATGTTAGGTTGGATTCTATAAAACCATATTTGCTTTAAAAGTTTCCTAAGCCCTTCACTTTGTCCGGATGCGAAATAATGAAAACTTAATGTTTATTTGTTACTAACATGTTCTTTTAAAAAAGATTTTTCCAATTTCTGTCAACATATTTTGGATTTTTCAGATGCTGATCTAAACCTAATAAAGCTAGGATTTTTAACTATCTGCCCAGTGTCCTGAGGAGTAGTCCTTGAATGCAAACAATGAAAAATGTTCACTTTGGACTTTAGTATCGGGGTAGAGTGAATTTTGGAGGCAAATTCTCCTAAACATTGGCAAATATGAAAACAGTGGCATAGATTTATCTAGAGCGAGCCCCCCCAAAGCTGATTTGCACTGGCATTATTCTATAATTTTTAGTGTTAAAATCCAGACAAAAGGGCTAAACTCTGCTTTTCTTATTCACTTTATTATCATTGCTTAAATTTCTTGAACTTGGCTATTTAATACATCTTAGTTTAAAAACCATGACTATTGAGTGAATGATGTCAGTGTTTCTTAAAAATGTATTTAAGAGATACGACCGGGACCTAGATATTTCTTTCACACTAGAAAGAACGATACTTGGAAGCCAAGACAACAACAAATCTACTCAAGAAAAACTTCCAAACAAACAAAATGACATTAGGGTGCTACGTTTTCCTCAGAAAGACCTTAGCATGAATTTGCCTATTGTGTGTGGAGACCCAGAGTTACATTCTTCAGATGCACTTTGTTGGTGGCTATGAAATTTGAAGATTGAACTTCCTGCCCATATTCTACAGCTGAAGATGGCCCCATATGTTTTGGATGCTTACTCATTCTTAAATTTCAGAAGAAAGCTAGACCTCTCACAGCATACTCAGAATTTTTGACACTTGAATGTTTGATAAGCATGTATTTTTAAGGAAGGAACACGTCAAAGCATTATATTCAAACAATGAGATTCTAAACAATAAATTTGTTATCTAAAACATGCACACATTTCACAGACTTTATTAGGTTGCTTGTGGCAACCCTAGAAAGACCACTTCTACTGTTTCAGAGTTAATTTCAACTTGATTCTTGATGTTACATTTATAGGCTGGCTGTATATGTCTGCACATTTATTGTTGCATCTGCTTGCTTGTGTTTATTGGTGTCATTAAAAGGAGTGCAATCAAACGCATGTGGTTAGGCTGTCTAGACTTTTTACACTATAGCAACTGGTTATTTCTGACTTTGGCTGCAAAGTAGAATTGGAGAATTAATATTAAAATAGTAATAGACCATCACTTGCTGTTAGATAACTGCTTTTATCCTGACTTTCAAAAAGTTATGTGGTTCTGATACTGACGAAGGCATAACAATCAAGGAAATGTCAGGGGTAATTATTTTAGACAGTTTACAAAACCTAATAGTATTTTGAAGACGTTTGTACAACACATGCAAATTTTCAGAAGAGCTGTGATTTCTTGAGCAGGACTGACAGTATTCCTGATTTAAGGAAAGGCGATGTGTGAGGACTGAGGAAAAGAAACCCTACACTCAGAAATATTCCTTGGTTTATTATGGGACTCAGAAAAAGATATATTCTTGTAGTAAAATAGAACCCTTTCTGGGGGGATCTGGGATTACCTATGCAGAGGGAGAAGGCCTGGTGTGGAAGCCCACGGGCTACACTGGCACTGACCCGGCACCTGTTCACGTGGATCTGAACTATTGTGCATCTTTCCTTTCTAAGCATCGATTCACTCTTCTACTTCCTGTTTGATTTTCCTACATGTGCATTAATCTTTTTTGAGCTACATTTGCTTTCACAACTCTTACAACTTTTTCCATTCAGGATATGCATGTGAGATGTAGTCTGATGCTTTCCTGTAGCCTGTGCTCCTCTACCATGGAGGAGGAGGAGGGGGGG